AATTTTCCGAAAAATTGAAATGGTGGTTAGGAGGTCGTCTGCTTCAACTTACCGTTCTGGAATTAGATTAGTATAGTCCGCGGCGCGGAGCGCCGCGCACACCTCCAATTTACATGCAGAAAAACTTACTCCCAGCGGCCGCGGGAAGTCTTCGACTACATTTTTTCAGTATTACACTTACTTCTAAAAATTTCCTTCTCTGCCTATCTTATTTCCCCACCCCCCCCAAAACTCTATAACCACCGTTGCAGGACAAAATGCTTGGACTAGGGGTATATGAGTGGGCCTACATAAGCTACTTTTGTAGGGGCTGATACTAGGTTGCCTTCAGACGACTGTAAGGAAGAATGGACTAGCCCTAGGCGACCAAAAAAAGTCAAGCCACAGTTAAATTGACCGATAAATAAATGGGCAATTCATGCGAAACATTGGTGAGTCGCCGCCCGACGGCGCTGTCACAATGGACATTTGAGACAAACTAGCCGTGTGAGACACGGCTCAACGCACAAACAACCAGGCCTACTTAGTGCGTTGACGGAGATGAATTAAGTATGCGGATATTCTTTCAAAAATAAAACCGAGTAACTGGAAATGGCTTAGTGATTAGGATTCTTAAGATTTTATCAACCGTGTACCGTTATCTACCGTTTAAATATTAATAGTCAAAGATGTCTTTACTAGCCAACATTCCTTCCATTAGATCGTCCCAATGTTCACCTTCTCACTAAACTTTAAAAAAGCCCAAAAAACTGACTGATCGTAAGTCAAGCGTGCACAGACAACGCCGAATACAAGTTTATCGTAGCCTACAAAGCCAAAAGATGATTGGTATCCACCGAATATACATAAAGACGACACGTTAGGTTGTCGCAACTTGCATTTTTGCTTTCGTGGAACAAACAGAACAGACCAGGGAGAACGAAGATGCGTCCACCCAACAAGACGGATGCATGGTATCGAAATCGGCAACGCCCATGGGTCAAATCACGTCCTCCTGAAATTTCATCCCATCCTCACCCAAAACATCCAGTCGCCAAATTATGGCAACCACAAAATCGAAACTCTGAAAATAGGATTACGTTCCCACTTTTAAACCCGAACCGGAGGAAACAGCAACGAATGACTGTCATCTAATTTCTCAGTCCGTAAGACGACTTAGCAAACTAACGACGCCGCAGCGGTTTTATTAGCTGGTGGACTTAGCAGCCAACATGAGTGGACACCTATAACGAAAATTTCTTCTACAAACTCCGGACATTGCAGGAAAAGTTTGCTAGAGATGACCGCAAGGATTATTGGACTAAAGCTGCGACGCCGTTCAACAGGCCATTAAACGTCGCTTGCTGATGAAAACCCTAAATAGTTACTCGTCGAATTAGTGGTGAGCCCTACGCACCAAGTGACTCTATTTGTAAATGGAATAGCGTTTTCGATATTAACAATTCAGTTGGCATAGGTAATTCGACCACTTTTTCAACCTCGATGTCCTAATCTAGAAATTTCCCTCTGTTCATTGTAGTAAGGTTTTATCCCCTGAAACCTTTGCGGTCTTGTGTGACCCTCATCAAAAAAAACAGATTTTTGACATAACACAGAGACTGTGCAACAAAAATCTCCACAGAGCGCAGTACTCCTACTAAAGTCTACAAGTCTGTATTCGGTATTCTGGTGCCTTGGCTCCATAGGGTGGTGGGATAAGTGTGGCGAGGTGACATTGCTCCTAATGACTGGTGGACAGCAATCCACGTGTCTGTCCTCACAAGAACTTCTGTGGTACAAGTCTCATCTACATTGCAAACACCTTTGTCGAGTATTCTAAACTGGCGTGACGCTAAAAAAAATATCCACCTACAGTCAGGCTCTGAGCTGAAAGAGGATGCCCCGACTAGGTGTTTACTTTGAGACACTTTCTTGAACTCCACTACCAGCAACCGACAGTCGGCTGAGTTGCCAAATTCGCTGTAGTAGACGGCCGAATTTGTTATTGGTCCTTGCGACTGATAACAAAACTAGATTGGTCCCGACAAGAATCATCACTATGTTCAAGGACTGTCACCGCCGAAGTTCTGCTCTAAAATAATCGTTCCCGGGAGTTTGACAGTCAGTCAGGGGTCCTAAAGGGCTGCAGCTTCTCAGCACCTCCGTTAAACTGCATCTAGAATTAGACCTTCGAAATGGCTCTAGGAGGTTTTGACTGTGTCTACTGTTCATCCGGACGCGGGCCAACTGATTTCGACTGTGGTAACGATGGTTTCAATTTGCGATACCATTGAGATCAACGTGATTAGAGCCATATCAAATAAAAATCATGCATTAATGCGCTGTCGGATTTAGGTCTGAAGCCAGTGAATGAAAGGCGAGGCATATCGCCCAGGATTGTACTGCTGTCGGCGTCGAGTGAAATCCCGGTAAGTGTTGGGGGAGGAACAGCCCGTGGTGGAGGGGTGGGGTGGAGTGAGGGGTGAGAAAGTGTTCCCTAGCCCTGAGTTCTACGGCCGCAACGAACGCAAATGACACCAGTGCGTGAGGTTACCTGCATGACTGCCCTCAGATCCTCATCCTCAAAGCGGCTGCAACGTCCATCCTACGCAAACCTTATCAATTACTTTGAATCAAATTGCGGCTTTACTACAAATCGCCAGACTACGGCAAAGTTGCGACTGTCACGTTAGATCCAAACTAAGGAGAATCATGCACCCAATGCTGCATTGAAATGCAGTAAGAAAGCTCCTAATGGTCATTCAACTTAAGCACTTTGTTACAATCTCCTCAAGGCGTGTCATGCAGAAAAACCCTACTGTTTAAATGAAACTGTCTCTTATAAAGCGTTAATGCAACAAATATCTAGGGATGAAATACAAACCGAGACATGTAAGGATCTTTTGGCACCAGAGTAAATGCAACAACGTTCGGCATTGTAGAATGTATAGAGCGACTCACCATGAAACTGTTTAGTGGTCGAGGGATAGAATCCTTCTTGCGCCGCTTTTTAGACTCAGTAATTGTCGTGTAGGGTTTCATGGCAGCCTGTCCCGTGAGCCTTGAGGCTCGATCGCTCGGCCATTCAGTTGGGAGTGGGTGCACTTCCGTCAGGTGTTTCATCCAGGTCTGAATGCCACTCACTTGGGCTGGTGCACATGTAGCACACTCTTGCATCCACATTCTGATCAGGGGGGAAAACAGAGTGCAACTCAGGAATGTTGCGAGTGGCAGGGACTACGCAGTACAAGTGCGCCCTTGGGTCCACGAAGAAAAGAGCCTAATGCGCTT